ATGTCAAAGTGTAGTGTGCCATGGAAAAAAATAACGCGCAAAACTGATAACAGTCATTAAATGATATTTCAATGCCTGAAGCAGTTGTAAATGATTATTTTTTCCCATGGCACACTACAGTATAACACAAGTGACTTTAAGAGAATTTTCGGAAACTATTTTAATGTTTTTCTATGCTACAATTACAATTAATGTTGATGTATTGTACATTAATGGATTCAGAAAAAAAAATCGCTATCCAATAGCGTGAAGAAAAACATACCGAGCAATTTGAAAATCAAAAGTTGGTAATCGCTAGAAATTGAAGATGGCGTTGGAAAAAGTTTATTTGTAGCATGAATCATAGTATTCATCAAACCTTTTCATTTGATACCTCGTTCATGAAAATCGGAAGGTAAATGACAGAGTTACAGCTTGCGGCATTCTTATGTGACAACCTGTATATACAGGTGTCTTTTCTTTGCTAAAATTACATTTAAAATGGATGTATTGTACATCAATGGATTCAGGAAAAGAATCTCTATTCAGTGAGGTGAAGAAAAATATACGCAGCGATTTGAAAAACAAAAGTTAATAATCGCTTGAAATTGAAGATGGCGTTGGAAAAAATTTATTTGTAGCATGACTCATAGTATTCATCAAACCATTTCATTTGATAGGTATCAAATGAAATGGTTTGATTAATTTGAATTGTCATGAAAATTGGAGTGTAAATGACAGAGTTACAGCTTAGGGCGTTTTTTATCTGACACCCTGTATACATTAATTGTTTTCTCAAAACTTTTTTATATACCATTTTAAAATATTATACAGGTTTTTCCAGAACACATCTTCAGCTTTAATTTCAGACATAAATCGATTCTTTGTTCTCATAAATAAAGGAGATGTGGTTTTTTGAAAATTAAGTACCTTTTAATCGGTTTTATGTTATTTAATAAACATCATCATATTTAATAATTTAATTTATAGAATGTATATGACTTATTTACATATATCAACTTCAATTATACAACAGCAACCAACATTGCCAATGTAGAAAAATTTATTTTAGTGCCCTCTATATTAAGAACGTTGAACTATATACTTACAAAAGCGAAGAATAGATGGGACTACATAGATGTTTATTTTACAATTGAAATTTTCGTTTGAGATTTAAATGGTAAAAATTTAAAAATAAACAAAATTAAGTTAAAAAAGAAGAAAAATAAATAAATAAATAGCTTAAGATCAATGATTATTATTCGCTCATTAGAGTCGCTTAAATATCTTTATTTTAACTGCGGAGAAAGTAAACCACTACTAAATAAGTACATAAATGCGGGTAGCGTGACTAATTTATTCCATAGATATTTACGAAATTTCTCTGTTGTTAAAAAAATGGTAACAATATTAAAAAAATTAAAAGCCACTTTTCTTAGTCATTTAACAACTTATTTAAAAAAAATCCCTAACCATGTCTATGAGTCACATGAAACTATGAATATTTATAAAATACATAGTTATTTCAATATATTTCAAGGTTTACTTAAGTTCACAGTTAATTTACAATATTAAATTATTAAACTAATTTGAAAAATTATTACCGCAATAACTGATAAATAAATAAATCCCAAATATTGTTTACGAATAAAATCTGAGATATGTTCTTGACCTATTCATGATACTTTTATTTATCTTAAACAATACGCTTAAAGTCCAATTTAAAAGATAGTTTATTCACACTTCTGAATAATCCCATCTCATGTTTTTGTACCCACCACATGTACATTCGAAAGAGCACAAGCGTGTTCAACGTTGGAAGGCAAAGTCAGTCTGTAGTCTGTGTTTGAACGTTTTATTCGCAACAGAACAGAGTAGCGGACGCATGAATTTTACGAAAGTTACAACAGTTCAGTGATATACAAACAACGTAAATAGTACGTTTCTATTTTTAATTAAGGTTAAATTAACGATAAATCAATAAGTTTTTAGTGAAAAGTGAATTTATAAATAGTTTTTTACGTGTGTGAGGTTGTATTTTAATTTAAAATTGAAAATTTTCCCGCCAAATTTAAAAGATAATCAAGCAATAAGTTATGTAAACTTAATTTTATCAACCAAATTGAATTGATATATGTAAAAAATCTTGAGATTTCAGTTACAGAGTGGATTTTTAAGCGATTATATCAGATTTTTTATTTAATTTTAGTTTATTTCACTTGGTAATCAAAATACATACGGTTTTTTTAATTGTTACATGAAGTAGTTATTAAAGATTGTCAAGATGAGTAATCAAACAAAACCAAATTAAATGAATAAATTTAATAATTAAATCGAAATAAAATTTCAATATAGAGGCTATATTTATGTATATCTGATATGAGAATATTTAGGCAAATAAGTCGAAATTGATAAGTTTTTATTAGAAGGAATAAAAATTAATGTACAATAAACTGTACTTTAAGTCTGCTCATAGACAAAATTGGATAATTTGGCCGGCGAGAAAATTTGCAAAGAAAGTTGCAGACATACTTCTGTTAATTAACTTGTTTTGTTCTAACATCTCTCCGCCTTGTGCTAAAACTTCTTTAAACGGAAGATGTCGTTGGCAGAAAAGTTATAAAACTAATTATTGCCTACAACCGGAAAAAATCAATTTTTTGTTTAAAACGTTAAGAAAGAAGTTTCTTTCTTCTTCTTCGCTTGTCTCGAGGTACTTTTGTGTCCCGTTATTTGCAAATTTAAAAATTTTTGCAATAGTACTCGATTCTTTGTGACACCCAGATGAATTGTTTTTATATATTTTGGTACATTCAAGCATATTTTGAAATTTTCTGAAGTTAGAAACATCGAAAGCGCCCATAATTTCCCTTCGAAATGAAGGCTTGAAATTAGCTCCTTTTAAATTGGGAGAATGTGTAAGCCACTAGTATTATTCTAATTGCTATATTGTTGACGTGTTTATGTGCTGATGTGTTGCTAAATTACTCTACATCAATAAGGGTAAGTTAAAAGTTAATTTAAAGCAGATATTAATAAAAGATGGATAGTTTAAATAAATTGATACATTTTGCTTAGTCTATAGACAAAACAGCGATAATTTAATTACGTTATAAAATAATAACATGTAGTACTATATACTATACTATATAACTACTATATAATACAGTATTCAGATACTTCGATTTGTATTATGCAATCGTCATTTTGATCTGCAGTTTTTTTTTAATTTTACTTCTTATATTTTAAACCCCAAAGATAACCTCCAACCTTAAAAAATTTAAATAGCAAGCAGTTAACGACCAAAACAAAGTTCTAGCGAAGTTTCACTATGAAGTTGTTTTCAAACTTTACATTTATATATTTTTTTACATTTAAATTTAAACCAACTTTCATGAGGGTGGAAATAATCCCATTTTCCTATATCCCCTTGAGATTATCTTGTACATATATCAAATTCACAAAATGTGGATATCTTCTGTTTAGATGAAATAAATCATGATACTTCATCAATATTTTCCAAACATCTTCAGATATACTAAAAAGTCCCAAATTGGAAATCTTTGGACATTCCTTAAAAATCTCAGATGAAATTTGACATGAAATTCGAAAATGTCTTGGATATCTCAAATCTGTATAAATTCATGGATTGCCTTGGAAATCATCGCCAGATAAAATAAAACCTGATTCATCTCATATAATTATTATCAGACAGACAAATTAGAAGAATACACTCAAAACATCATAGGCGAATATCAAGCTGTATTCAGATCGGGTAACTGATCAACACTTTCAAAAACAATTCCACCTACAATGATTGTAAGTGGAGTGAAAAAAACACTATTTTTTCATTTCAAACGAAGTACCCTAAAGACCATGTCTATCACTCACTAGTTATATTTAACCAGCAACGCAAATTCCAGACGGCCGTATAGTTACCTACATGTATGACGTAGGTGTTAGGCACATAATTACATCTTATTGTATCTTATTGGTATAGACATAAAATGACAGCAAAAAAAAAGGAAAATTTTCAGAAGATATGATCGGGCTTAGCTCAAACACTCAAGAAAAAGAATTCCGCGATAGTTAGTGCACATTGTGTTATTCATCGACAAGCTTCCAAAACATTGTCACAGAAATTATGCCAAACTTGGAACTCAGCTATAAAGATCGTAAGCTACATCAAGAGCAGCAAAGCGCGTTTTACTTTTTTAACAGTCGATTATTTATTTTACTTTGCGAAGATCTCGATTCTGATCAGAGTCGAATTGTAAACAACAACAACAACAAATGGGTTGTCTGATCATGTACCATATTGGTGAATCGAAATAAAAGTCTGGGGAGTAATGGTGAAATTCGTCTGTTTTTGCAAATGACTTTCTATTTCAGCTTTAAAATTATCGTCCAGTTTTTTACTTTCAATAGGTTGTATTGACTTTCAATAGGTATTGTAATTTCAATAGGTTTTTACCTTTAGATTGGCCTCTATTCCACACACAAATACACTGGTTATCTAAAGGCAACATGTTGCTTCGTCTTTATGAATTAAAGGAAAAGCACACTTTTTCCTGATTTTAAAGAAAAAAATTAACTTATTTGAGTGATATATTTGATGTCTGGAATCAGCTAAACTTGAAGCTTCTGGGCAAAAACGACACTTTTTAAGTAAATATGACCATATTCAGGGGTTCGTATCAAAACTCCAACTTTGGAATTAAAAGGTGTCTACTGAAAATGTTATATCATTTTCTCGGCTATCCGAAGTAATTGAAAGTAAAAAACTGGACGATAATTTTAAAGCTGAAATAGAAACTCATTTGCAAACGCCGAAAACAGACGAATTTCACCATTACTCCCCAGACTTTTATTTCGATTCACCAATATCAGGTATATGATCAGACAACCCATTTGTTGTTGTTGTCTTACAATTACCAGAAGAAGTTCAGGTATAGATTCTCGAAATGAAGCCGATTTCCACCACGAAAGATGACTTCCATCTCTTGACGTTGGAGAAATTTTTGATCAAACGATTCCATCTTAATTGAAAAGTTGCTTCTCTCGGGTTGCGAACACTTACACCTTTTTCTTCTACTTATTTATGTGACATAGGTTTTCGAGTTCTGGTATTAATAAAACTAAACAGACTTATTCCAATCCAAGAAAATTCTAAGTCATGGTTCTAACCTCAATTTGTGAAAAATCCCCAACAGTGAATTTTGGCAACTTATGTATAAAACCATCTCCATCTTTTAAATGCCTGGGAATAATTTTGGACAATGACCCAAAATTATCCAAGCATTACAAAATCAAAACAGACGAAGCAATCAGAAAAGTCAATTACTCCGAACACACACCTACAAAAACAAAGGGATACACATCAACACGGCAATGAAGATCTACAAATCCATATGCAAACCGGTTTTAGACTATAGACACGTACCAATAATTAACTCGACGAATAAGACTAAGGATATCATTGATAACGCAGAAATAATAACTAAAATCCATCATCCTAAAAATCTTCTGTACAATATAAGTAATGAAGACCTATACGCTCGAACACAAATAAAACCAATTGAACTAAAGCAGGAAGAACTAAAGAAGAAATTTATCGATAAAAAGTACAATAGGCAGGCATTACACAAAATGTGTTAATAAAAGCAGAACAGGATCGCCAAGAACCCAGGATCGCCAGGAATCGATCATTCTACTTCTTGTTACCTATCATGATCAAAGTCGGAGGAGCAACTGGATTGTTTTGAGAGGGAAATATTCAAAAAAATTTACGTCAATGAAATGACAACGGAGAGTGGTTGCATCACACATAAAATTAATGTGGCGTTATTGGGCAGAATATATGTGTACAACGCATGTCAGAAACACGTGCCGTAAAGAAAGTGTTTTTGAGACAATCAACAGGAAGTTGCATGGCTGGTAGACCAACAGCAAGTTGGGAGAGAACGTGACTAGGGACGCTCCGGTGATTCTCTGGATGAGAAGCTCTAGAGAGTGGCTGGGGGCCGATATGGTTGAAGGCGAAGCTATTGAGGAGGCCAATGCTCGTTTGGGGTTGCACCACTATGGAAGAAGACGAAGTCTTCAAATATAAAACTGTTTATTTTGGACTTTCAAAAAAGTCCAAAAATCATCAGAACAACAAACTTTTTCTTCAAATAAAATAAATCCTGAGAAGAAATCCTTACAAATTCCTTGGAAATCTTAAAAATGCATCGAAATGTCTGGTAATTCTCTCTTTGGGTAAAACAACTCCTAATAAATTCGGGAAATCTTTAAATATTCCAGCAAATTCTTACATGTTTGCAGAAAAACTTAGTAATCCTAACAAAATCCTTAAAAATCTCTTTTCCTATCTAGCAATAATCAAACGTCAATAATTTAGACGTGTCATTACGATACTAAAAGTTGTGTTATAAGGTATTATAATGCAATACTTTGAATCTATTTCAGTTATTTGTAACATTGTGTATACACCTGTATAATATTTAATGATCACAAAATAACTATTCCTAATTTTCAAAAATGATCGAGGACCCTGAAATAAATATTGTATATAAGTAAACTTGAACTAATAAACAGAATTTATTAAGTATCGAGATAAACATGTTACAAATATTGAATTAGTTGACATGCATCTTGCCATATTTTTACATTGACTGCCATATTTCATTACTTTCAATACTGGTAATTCTAAATAAAGAAAACAGATTTTGGAGCAATCGTATTGCCAGAAATGTTGATTTTGAGGATTCAGTTCTGCAAAAATTTGAAAATAAAACGGAAACAAGTGCTTGTGTCATTGCTCAGGCGATGCGTACAAGTCACACATCTGTATGGAGGGTATTGAAGGAGTACCAGAACATTCACATTCAAATAGTGAAAAAGTTACTTCCAGCTAATTATTCCAACAGAGTTC